AATTCTTAGAATGTCCCATCCACCATAGAGCTATGACTGAAATGGAGCCAGATGCGAAGTTATAGCATTTGCTTTATTCTGTTTTAAGTGTTCCTGGAGCCATCTGGAGAACTTCCTTCAGAGCCAGAGACTTTCTGGTAAGATGCTTCTGTGATTATGCAGATTGGAAAGCCAGTTTCACATGGATCTTTGTGACATTGTTCCTGTAGTGGTGACATCCTGAGAATGTGTCTTATATGACATCACTGTTGCACCTGACAGTGAATTGTTTTTAGGTTTGTGGGTTGATGTGGAAAACCTAAGTGGGACACTCTGGTAGATCTGTAAGTCACAATATTAATGGTAACATGTCTGCCTTTATGGGCATGTGTTTCAAGTATGCATAAAATGCAAGCATGAAAGGACCAATTGAGAGGCCAAGGGGCTGTAGACATAAGTTTTAATGAGGTTGTGGAAGAAACATAGAAATACTGTACTTTCGGTAGCTCACTGACAACTACATCATGCACTTCTCAGTTCCTCATCCACTTGAAACCCTTCCCATAGGCACCATAAAGCAAACTTAGACCCACATGGAAGTAATAGTCACCAATTATTGAGCAAATTCTTGGCTAAATACTTAAGCCATGTGATAGTTAATACTTGAAGCAGTTCTGGAATGATCTCTATGTGTCCACATACATAGGGTGTTTAAAGGTTGTATATTTAAAAACTGTGTCTGTATTATGAGAAATGTTGTTCTTTTCTGTTTTCACATTAAATAGTGGTACACATATTGTGGCATTACTTGGCTTCCATCAAGTATGTGTCTTTTTGCCCAAAAATATTAGCTCTTTTTATATCAGCATCCATGATCTCAGCATGTCCTTTGTAAACCCAGGTGTAGGGTGTCCCAGCTCTCAAGTTAGCTATATGGTAGAGTCACCTGTGGGGCCCTGAGAGATTCTCCTGGGCCCCAGGGCCAGAGCCCCTGATTTCTTTGGTGCAGTATGGGCATCTAATGTTTATCAGAACACATATATGAGTCTTTGTTACAACTCAAGAACTCTGTTTCCAATTGCATTGACTTTTCTGGGTGTACCTATAGGTTAAATTCCTAAATATGGAAGAAAATTGAGAATTCCTAGGTGAGGCTTAAAGCATAAAACAATAGACTGTCCAATCAAACTGCCACACACTGACAGGCTCCAGTTGACAACACCCACTGCATGCTGGCTAGGGGTTTTCCTCCTTGCTTATCTCCCTGCCCCCATTTTATTTTTTAAATTGTTTTATTTTTGAGAGGTTTTTGTTTGTTTTGTTTTTTCTTTCTTCCCCTTAGTTGCTCGTGGATGTTCTCAATATGAAAAGAGGTTGAGGCAGCCCATATCAAAGCTTTATTTCAGTACACATTTTAAAATGCTTTGTCTTGGAAATAAGTCCTGGTGAACAACCTGACAAGGTATTACTTCCTCCACTTGTAAACATGTCAGTGCTTGCGAGCGCGCGCGTGTGTGTGTGTGTGTGTGTGTGTGTGTGTGTGTGTGTGTGTGTATGTGTGTGTAGACAGCAACACAGTACGATTTGCAGTCACACCACACCCAAACAGGGCGGAGTAGAAGCTCAGTGTTCTGTTTACTGCCTCATTTCTATACTTAAGCTTGCATAAAATTGAAGCCTGTTTTGAAGTTTTATTACGTAAAATTTGCAAGTGGAATTTTTATGAAGGGCAGGGTGACTCTTTGGGAGGCAGTTCTGATTTCGTTCTGTGACTGTGTCTTCTCCATGTGGTTTCTGGGTGGCTCCTTGTCCCATTGTGTTCATCTCAGTAGAAACCCAAGGATGGATACAGTGTTGGCATGTGCAAAGTTCACAGTGTTGCCCTCTGGGCAGTAGGTTGTAGGAAGACAGAGGCTGGAAAATGGTGTTTCCCATTCTAAAATGTGAAGCTCAGAAAGAGCCAGGTATTTGGTAGCTTACCATAAACGTTTTTGGCATCAATAATCCCATATGATGGCTGTATCCACATGTGTTCACATTGAGCTTTCTGAGGCAAGGGTATGAATTCCAGTGGTCCTGGGTTCTGGAAAGTAGAGGGTTTACAATAGATTTTCTGTCTTGGTGATCAGCTGACAAATAGTTTCTAGGCAGAGGAGATGCCTTCAGAATTAGAAAATGGATAGTAAGTAGATGAGGTCAGTGACTGGGGACACTCTGGAGGGATCAGATCTGCACTGCCAATGTCAGTGTCCTGGTAGTGATTCAGCTGGGTGTGGTATGCAAGTAGTTGGATTGGAGTAATAGGCTTTTGACTTCCTCACAACACATAGCAACACTTTATTTTAAATTTCCTTTTCTACACTATCCCCCAAACCTCAGAGAATTTCCCACAGTTAGCAGATAAACTGACCAACCTACAGAGCTCTTGATTTAGCAATGACAACAGCCCTGTAGAGATTAAGGCACTCTTATTCCAAGAATGTGTTCTGCTGACATGCACAGGGATGTCAGTGAGTATTTACTTAGTTTATTTTCACAAAACAACAGTCACCACATACAAGTTCTCCCTCCAACTTTTTAATCTTATCCCTTCTTTCTCTTATGTGTCCATTGAAAACCACCAGTATTTACTGAGTATTTGGGGATGCTAAACACTGCAAGGGGGCAGCACACATCGTTCATGCTGGACTTCCGTCCAATGCCTTGAGCAGCTTCTCTACAGAGGAGGAGGCATCGTCTACAGGCACTGAGCTCTACCAAGTCTTTTAACTAGTGAGTGAGAACTGCCCCTCACAATCGTTTTTCCTCTTGGAAACTTACACCTTAGGTCTAGGTTTTGTGGGTTTAGGTAGTTCCTATGTTGCTCTCTAGACTCTGACCACCTTTACGGTCTTAGTTTTGTATTTAAGGTTCTATTTAACTTGGCTTGATTCATGTATTTATTTATAGAAAAGTAGAGGAGATAAAAGCAAACATAACTTTTCTTTCATTTATTTAGATGATAAAACTGAGTCAGGAAATACAAAAGTCTTTCCTAAAGTTCTGTCAGAAGCAGTTAAGTTAGGATTTGAACCCAGGTCACAATACCTGGGTTGCCTGTACCTCTGTTGCCCATAGCTGAAAACAGTAGGACCCTGGGGGGGGGGGGAGGCAAAATTTAACCAAGAATGTTGCTCTGCTTAGTGTTCCTGTTCCTCTCCTTGCAAATGCATTAATGTGTGGAAACATTTTAAAAGAAGGGGTTTTCAAACTTGCTTTTTATAAACATGAAGGTAAAAGGCCTCTGAGCAAATCTTTCTTCTATTCCAATCCAGTGAATCGTGTTCCATAAAAATGCTGGCAGCCATTTTTCTCTGCTGAAGCTTTTGTGGAAATCAGATTATGTATTCTTGATAAACTTTGGATATAACATTGAGAAGGGATAAGATTGAGGGGCTTCTGGCTTAGGGGCATTAAGGGATGAGAACAGAAGTCACTTCTCCTTGGGCCAGTGCTTATTGGCCTCACTGGGATCTTCAGTATGGCTTTGTCTGGTAAACTTGAAGTTTTAGAACCTAGTCATCAAGAGGGAATAAGTATACTATGTAATCTGTTCAGTTTCTCTCTGAGAATTTGCCAGAATTATTTCCAGTATTGAGAAGTTAAAAGGCACAGACAGTGTCTCCTTCTCAGTCACTGTCATGAAATAGTAAGCTTCTTTGCTTGTGTGTAGTGATCTTAAACCCAAAGTACTTGCAGTGTGGTTCTTGTGGGGCTGTTATTGAAGGCAGTTTGTGAGGACTGACTTCAGGAGGACACCACATCAACCACGTACCAGAGCATGGAAGGAACAAGTGTGTACTGGTGTCTTGCAACACATATGTCCTTCCCTCGTGATGAATGGTCTTACCCTGGGGCTCTTCCTGAAAGCACTGGGGTGAATCAGGACGCTACATCCTTTTGCTTGTTAAGGAAGAAAACTTGGCTTCTGAAACAACTGAGGTTTTGGTGTGACACAGCTGGCTAGGAAGTCTTAGCTTGTGTTTTTGTAACCTCCGCTTTTAAAGGTGTTTTTGTACTGGCTTCAAGTGGGCCTTTTAGAGGCAGTGAAGACAGGGACCCAATGGGAGAACATGATCTGGGTGTCTTTGGCCTTCACCTTCAATTTGTTTATGGGCTCAACTCCCAGGCTAGCAACAGGTCTGCTGCTGCCCAGTGCCACAGCTCTGTGGTGAGGCTGTGACTCCTCTGGTGGGGAGCTCCAGTGACACTTTTGGTTTGGCTTTTCTCCCAGATGATTGAGCTGTCCTGGCTTTCAGACGCTGGTTTCTGTCATGTGAGCAACACAGACATCCTCACCAAGAACTGTGTTCTGTTGGCTTTCGGGATTTATACTGTGACCCTTCGGTTAAAATACTGAGTCATACCACTAGACATGCCAGTTTTTCAGGGTGAAAACTTAGAAATGTCCTTGTCTGCTCTCCCTGTGAGAATTGGTGAGGGTGAGGGAGGAGGCAGGGCTTCTGGCAAGATCTGGGGCAGGAACTTGGAAACACAGGTGAGAATGTGTGTACTTACCAGTTGAGTCCTGGTGTGTCCTGATGGTGTTTGTGGGGGTGCACATGGGCCCCTTCTTCCCTCGTCTAGGAAAAAACTAAAGGAGGATGGGTATAGGTTTGGATTTCCACTTTGCACTCTTGTGCCTGCCTGGATGCCAGTGGATGCAGTACTGATTTTTAGGGGGTTCTTAGCTTTTTGGATGTTTGGAATTTGTTTTCCCTGTTGCCAGGGTGGGGCAGGAGTGGGATGCCCTCTTTGTTTTCTTCTTGCATCAAAGATGTTAGTGGGATGAGAGAGCACTGACTGCTGACTGACTTTCCCAGAGCCACTCCAAGACATGCCCTATTAGAACATCCTTTTGGGACCAAGTGTGTGGGAAGGGCTAGGCTGTCTCTCCACTGGTGTACTGAGAAACGCCCTTTCCGTTTCCTGGTAGAAAGGATGTTGAAACTTGCAGGGTTTCAGATGCTTCTGCAACCTTTGACTGTATCCCATGATTCTTTGGCATTTGGCACCTGGTGTGCTTGGGAAATGAAACTAGACAAGAGGAATGTGAGAGGAAAGAGAAGGAAGCAAAGCTATCTTTCCCTTTCACATTTTCTTGGTAAGAGGCCTTGAGTTGTGTGGCTGCAGCCCAAATGGCTTTGGAAGCCCCCGGGGAACTAAACTGTGGGTTGTACCAAGGCTCTGAAAGCAAGAGGTGTGGCAACTGAAATGGGGAGTCCCAACATTTCTCCCTAAGGGTCATACCATACAGATGTTGTCTTTGTCCCTCTGTTTGTGCACGTGACCTAAATTCAGTTTGTCTCAGTAATTTCAGAGACCTTTGTTGTACAGACATGCTTGTAATTCGGTGTTGAGAATTTTAAGTGGAGAATTTGTTATGAAACACTGTGTTTTGGTTAAAATAACAGAGCTAGAGAAGGACTAGTGGTTCGCACTGAACTTGTGAGTCCTTGCAGAAACTGTTGGCGCTTGAGTGGGTGGCTAGTGGGAGCTTTGTGCCTCTTGCTCTTTTCCTGGTCCCAGCACGTCTAGACTATAGTTTCCTTTGTAACTACTCCTGTTAGGGAAAACCCTGAGAACATAGCCAGTGAATGCTGATTCCTTGGTATGGTCAGTCATCTTTAAAATAGTAACAAAAGTCTCTGATGACCAATTAAAATGGTGTACAAATCAGTACAGACTTAATTTTGTCATTAGAGTGTTCATCTTTTCCCCAAACATTGGATATTCCTTGTGTCTTGCTTTGTGGAAATCAGATGTTACATATCTTCTATGCTGTGAATGGCATTATCAAAGGAAAAGTGCTAAGAAGGATGTTTTTACAGACTTGAAGCTTCTTGCCAATTTAAAAAAAAAAAAAAAAAACTCAATCACCATCATTATCTACACCCCCTAAAATTGGCTTTATTCTCTGACCTGTGCTGCATTGAGAGGTTTTGTTTGTTTTGTTAAAGAGCAGTACAAATGACTCTGACTCTGAGCTAGACCACAGATGGATTGGATTTCTTACCCTTTGCTAAGCAAAATGCACCTGCTCCAGAATCTTAAGTAGCTTTAATTGCTTCCTTGTGCGCAGCATAGCAATAGCCATCTGTAATGTTATAGATGGATTGCATCGGGATGTCCCAGAGGTGACTTCTTCCTCTGCCCTAGTGCCAGAAGCTGAGGCTACAAAAGTGCTCTGGTTGAGGGCCCAGCTGTCCTGGTGGAATTAGTCCTTTCTTTCAGGCTGATCTGATTAAGAAGGAGCCAAAATGTGACACAAGTTCCTGGTTTCAGGAACCACATGTGCCCTCTCTAGTCAAGAGAAGGACCAGTTCTGCTGGTCCCCAGTCATACCCACTAGCTATGAACTCCCAGAGTGGTGCTCCATCTATATCTCTAGCTCTGCCTGGCATATTGAAGGGATTCAGATAAGGATAACTGAGTAAAAGAGTATTTTCTTAAGCAACATAGTTTTAAGTGTAAGGAACTTGTAAAATACCTAAAGGTCTTTGCAGTGAATTGATCTCCCATAGAGCCTATTTGTGAATGAATTGACATGGTAGGGAGGGCTTAACTAGTTTTCCCAGAAACCTTTTGCTCTGCTCCAGGGAAACTACAAATACCATGACGGTGAGTTCCATCTTCAGAAGCTATTGACAGAGTCAAAAACTTGACTGGTGGCTAAGGAGTACTCAGCACTCCAGTTGGTTATAAATGTTCTCGTGGTTGTAAAAGCAGATCCAAGGACAACTGTGGGAAGAACACAAAGTCACATGCCTGAAATTCAGAGGTCACACAATCTGCTCACTTAGGCATTTATGCTTTTCATTCAGCAGGCATAATAGTCCCACCTGTCAGGGACTAAACAAGACTTAGTCCCTGCTCTCAGGATCCCTGAGTCTGGTGGAAAAACGGACTATAAATGCACTCGGTTATGTGTATGTACAATAGCTATGGCAAGAATGTGTACCCATCCCTGGAAAGTTTAAGGCCTATAAAAATGGTGTTATTGGAATGAGTCCTGAAAAATGGTCAGATAAGGAAGGAAAACATGGGCTATTGAGATGGCTCAGCAGATAAAGGTGCTTGCTGCTAATACTGATTGATGACTTAAGTTCAAGACCTGGGACTCAAGTAGAAGGAAAGAACTAATCCCTACAAATTGACCTCTGCATGTGCCCATACATGTGTTCATGCTTGTGTGTGCATGCACATGCATGTACATGCGTGAATGCTCACCAGTGCAACTACTATTAAGGTCTGATGATGGCATATGTCCACTTGTGTGTTGGCCTAAGCTTGGGCAGTGTTTGGGAAGTTGGGAGATGAAGGCAGGAAAATTAAGTCACCAGGGCTGGCATAGCAGTGTATGAGCCCTTTTAGTTTGGGCCTCTGCCCTCTCCAGTCTCTCATTAGTCACACCCTGGGGTTCTCTCTGGCTCAAGTGTGCCAGTCTCCTCCCTGATACAGTCTAGTGCACACACTCCTCCTGTCTGGAATCTTTTCTACTGACACTGTGCAGGGCTGTTTCCACTTTATCCTTTAGGTCTTAGCTAAATGTCACTTATCAGGTAGGGCCTTTCCTGAGCTCTATCTGGAGCAGCTCAATAGATTAAATGGATGCATTTGATGTAGAAGGACAACCATTATAGCCTGAAGTTCAAGGGCGTGTATGGGCACACCACCTGCTCTTTCAGTATGTGAATTAAGGATGGTTTTCGTATATTTGGTGGTTGAAAACAAGCTTAAAAAATACTGTTTATGGATATGATGAAAACATCTTTAAAGTTGTTTTTTAATTTTTATTTATTTATTTTGAGAGAGAAGGTCTCACATAGTTGAGACTAGTCTTAAACTCACCATGTTGTGGTTCATTATCCTGGAACTTCTGATCCTCCTACTGGGATTATAGATGTACACCACCAGATTTTATTTTGTGTGGTTCTGGAATGGAACCCTGGGTTGTGTGCCTGTTAGGCTGCACTTTACCAACTGAATTATATCCCAGCCTTGGATGTTATGAAGTTATATGAAATTCATATTTCACTCTCTTAGAGTAGAGTGTTATTAGGATTTGGGTTCATCGTGTTTACAAATGCCCATAGCTGCTTTACTGGTGTACATCTGTATTCTCAGTAGGAGGATCAGAAGTTCCAGGATAATGAACCACAACATGGTGAGTTTAAGACTAGTCTCAACTATGTGAGACCTTCTCTCTCAAAATAAATAAATAAAAATTAAAAATTGAATACTTGTGACAGAGGTCACATTTCCTACAGAGCCTACAATATTTACTGTCTGTTCATACACAGGAAAGGTCTACCAACACCTGGCCTGAAAACCAAGGGCCAGGGAGAAGAAATTGTTGAAATCATTCTGTTGGGAGGTGAAAGGTGGCTGCCTAAGGCCAGTTCCCTGACGTTGGAGAGGGTGGGGACTGGATTCCAGCCTGACTTCTCTGCACACCCCACGCCCCACTCCCAGCTGTCCAGTCTTTTCTGCACTGACGCCTCTGCTTTACCAGCAAACAGAGTCTTCCACAAGCTTCTCTTTCTAATTGGCTTCTGCTTCCTCAGCATCATCTTTAAGAGGTGGTGGGAAGAAGTGATGGATGTGATGTGCTTGGCGGGCTCAAGGCAGCTGTTGGAATTGCGGTGGTCAGTGAAGTGTTTGTGGTGGAAGGAAACTTGTGGAAGTGGTTCCTGCCCCAGAGAGGTCAAGTGGATGATTGCTTTTACTTCCTGTTTTGATCTGTATCTAAGAGATGAGGCTGTGAAAAGCAGCATTCCAAATATATTTATGAAATGGCTGCCGGTTGGACATCTCAGCTATCCCTATGAGTGATGGATAATTTAAATGTGCATTAAATCAGTTGTGGTTCCATTGAGGAACTAGCATGAAATCTTGACCTCTGGGACTAACTGAAGCTAAGCACAAATTGCTCCATACTAAAATGATTTCACTCAGTTTCTGATCTGTAGTAGACCCATGTTAGAATTAGGCATACCTTCATATTCTTCTCTTGGTAGGGTGGTATACTTCTTTTAAGATTTAAAAACAGCTTTGCACTGAGGTTTAGGCCCTAACACTATTCCCTGACCCTTCAATACAACCAGAATGTAGTATAGCTTGAATTTATGTAAAACAACTTAGAAAATGAAAAATTTCCAAGTTGTTTGGTCACAGTCTTGTATGTGAGGTGTTAGGCAACATATGCTTTGCGAGTTTGTCCTCGTGGAGTTGACTCCTTCAAAGAGGGAAGAAAGATCAACATCACAGATGACTGTAACCATCAGCTGGTGCATCTTGGTATCATGAAATGCTATGAGGATTCAGATAAGTTGTGTAGTTAGCAAGACTGCCTGGAAGAAGTAGCTAAACATTAACTTGAAGCCTGAGCTTAAGGCCCTTAGTGCCTGAGTGCCACCCCTTGTATATTTCAAATTCTTTCATTTTCTTGCCTTTATTTCCCTGAAGTCTAAGTATTCTGCCCATCCCTCCACCTAACCACACAGACCTTGACCTGAATGGTCTCTCCAGTTTACTGTTAATAGGCTTTGCAGGACACTGACCTGGCAGCTTTCAAGGAGATGGTGGTTCCTGCCCTTTTGACACGTACCAAAGACAAACATCAAGAGTTACAGTTTAATGAGATAAGTTACTACTCCTTTAACCTAGGGTGCATCAGATGCCTATCAGAGTATAAGACATGAGATTATCTAGAGCAGTACTTCTCAACCTTCCCTACACTGTGACCCTTTAAAATAGCCCCTCATGTTGTGTTGACCCCAACCATAAAATTATTCCATTACTTCTTCATAATTGTAATTTTGCTACTGTTGTGAATTATAATGTAAATATGTGCTATGCATCTGCAGCAGATTACAGGAAAACAACTACTCCTTCCCCATAGGTAGTCTAGCAAACTAGTTGTACAAATCACCAATCAATATCCAATCAGTTGGATATTTTCTTCTGCCTCTTTGTTCTTTTAGCAGTGCTGGGGATGGAACTTGGAACCTGATGCACCTCTCTTTTGAGTATTTTTAATGGACATTTTTTCACACTTTCCTCCTTTTTCTAAAACTAGCAAGTAATCACATCAATTATTTA